GTGGGTGATGGGTATTGAGGAGGGCACCTTTTGGGATGAGCACTGGGTGTTGTATGGAAACCAATTTGACAATAAATTTCATATATTTAAAAAAAAACACCAAAGAAAGATTCTAATCAAAATATACAGCAAAACTCAAAAATCCTCTTTCCCTCTAAATACCTGTGATCACCTCATTTCCAAAATCCCCAAACTCTCTAAAAACCCAACCTCGTGCCCTTTGTATGTCTTCGCCCTCAGCTTTCCAGACAGTGCCTCCAGTTTCTGTCCCACTCATTTCTCTCATCAACACAACCAAAGGCCACACCTGTTTGAGTAACAAGGGCCCTTGTTAGAAGCCATGGCGGGAGGGAGTCCATGACCATTGAGGAATTATTTTTTTTGTCCCAATCCTGTTACAAAATTTACATCTTATCACAGCGGTCCTTCTCCTATGTTACAGAATGCAGAACTATCTCAATGGGGCAAGGACAAGAGGTACATGCTCGAAAGCTGATTCAGGTGTCCATGCAGCAGGTAGGTGACAAGGACAGCTACTCCTAGTGCATCATTCTTGCTATTAGTCCTCTGGACATCAGGTTTACCTGGGACTGCCACAGTGATGGCTTAAGCATTCTGCCTGTGATGCTTCATCATCATTTTCCTTTTTTTTTTTTTTTAATGTATATATAGTCAACCTGTGATTACCAATGAATTTTAAAGTTTTTAATGTTTTTATTATTTGTTTATTTTGAGAGAGAGATAGAGAGAGAGAAAAGGACAGACAGAGAGGGAAAGAGGGAGCGAGAGAGAATCCCAAGCAGGCTCCACGCTGTCAGTGCAGAACCTAATGCAGGGCTCAGTCTCACAAAGTGTGGGATCATGACCTGAGCCAAAATCAAGAGTTGGAAACTTAGCCAACTGAGCCAACCAGGCATCCCTGATTACCAATGAATTTTAAACCACAAGCTGGTTTGCTCCTGACATCCCCACAAAAAACTTGCTTTATTTTATATAGTGTAAGCTCTATCTTATTTTCACTAAATATTTTTTTTTGACAACTTGGCAGACACACTTTCTGGTTTCTAGGAATGGAGCTCTAGCAAGTCTTGGAATTTGACAATCAACATTAATAGATAGTGCTTAAGAAGTGACAGACTGAGACAGTTACATTTCAATTTTTGGTTGAAGTCAGACTTTATTCTTTTCATTAGTGGATAGTTGCAGATGAATAAGAAATATTTGAGGATGTTATGTTTAAATATTGATGATGGTTTTTATTGAAAATTGCAAGCTGGATGGAATCTTGAGAAATATTTTCCATCACACCTAATAATACACAGGACATTAATTTTCTAGAGATGCTTGGTTGATAACAATTTCAGCTGTGATAAGAAATCGTACCACTTACAAAAATAAAGTAAGATCTCGGTTTATTTTTAAGCTTTTGATCTCCTAATGTCTGTAGCAACTTTGGTGCACCTTTTTCTTGGGAATTAATTACAAGAGAGGGTTAATGAGCTAAGGCTCTGCTTGGGCCATCAAATTCTCAAGTTAGTCATTAATTCTCAAGTGCCCTAAGCCTTTTTCTTTATCACTTAATTATATTCAATAATCTATTGTATCTAATTTATATATATCAAGGCAGTTACATATAATTATTTTTACTCAGATCAAATGATTCACTCCAAGGAGTGATTTGACAGTTTAATTCTGGGCCTTAAATAGTTTCTTTAGTTTCCGTGAATGAGAAACTTCTAAATTTCAGCGGTACATTCACACTAACCTTCTTTGGAATATTAGCTTTTATAATTTCCATGTCCTGTTTCTCAAGGTGGGATAAGTATGGATAATAATGACATTTTGAGAAACAAACCAACCAACAAACAAACCAACAGCCCATGAACAGGTACAGCCACATTGCCCCTTGAGGGCCACCAGATTTTTGAGGTGAAACTGACACTGTGGAATGAAATGGAATACCCAGCGAGTAACTGGATCCCTGCGGCACAAACTAACTACGAAGTGCATCTTACTCTGCAGCCCCCTGTTGTCTAGACGAACACGTCCCCTTTGCTGCTGAAGCCAGTTGGAGTTGTATTTTCCCTCACGGTAGGAGGCATAACACACAAGAATTACCGTCTATTTACTGCGCTCACTATTTTGTAGCTGTATTGATCTGATCTTTATATCAGGGTATCAACATGTTGTCTGGTTAAAAAAAACAACAACCCGTGTTCTCATAGAGCAGCATTGGCTATGTGACTTATATTGTTAAAGACAGTTTTAGCAAGTATTAAGGTAGTGAGTGCTTAGTACATTTTGTGGCTTTGGGACTATATGGGAGTGGTGATGACAACAAATGTTTATTTTACATTATGGTAGCACAAGTCACCACATGTATTGTCTCCATCTTTCATGAGATAATGTGCATCTCTCTCTGTGACTACGGATGATTTGGTTCAGAGGTGAGTCAGTTCCGATTCATCTTAGGACGCGTTGTTACAAATTCCAAAATACCTGTTCCTACCATTAGATGGTGCACACACTGTACTTACACAGGGCTTCGAGCTTTCATTTCTGTCCTTCTGAACCTGGGGTGGCTGAGTACTATTGTTTTGAACCCACTTGATTCCAAGTAACCAGATTTACCAGTAGCAGAAGAAAGTGTTTGTATTGACATAAAATCATCTTACCAAAAATAGGTGCTCAAAACAGCATTTACATGCGCTAAGCAAAGGGTTTTTTTTCAATCGTACATTTTGTTTTCTTAAAATTGTAACAAAAAATTACAAGATATTAATATGAAATCATTTTTGAATACAGGGTGGCTGGGTTTTACTGCAAAATTGTCACCTTGGCCTAGAATTCATGGAAGAATTGCTAGAGACGTTAATTACCACGGAAGCCAGTGATGACTCTTTCCGAGTATGGATAACTACTGAGCCCCATGATCGATTCCCAATTACGTTGCTTCAGGTTTGTTGCCGTGACATAAGTGTCTTTTCCTTGAGAGTTGTTTAAATAAAGATGACATCGTGGCGTTATTGAAAGATGAAACCACAGCAGGGATTTTGGTGCAGTAGAGTCTGTAAGATCTTGTAATAATGGTCAAAGTCTTAACTATAACCATCCATATTATATAGGAACTATTTCCACAGAAGAGTTATAAGACTCGGTAGTAATTCATGGGGTTTCAGCTGTGATTGATGTCATTAGTTTACACAGTGCTGAATTCTAACCAACATACCATGTACCATAAGCATACTGTTGTCTGAGGGATTGTAATTTCTATTTTATCCTTGACAATAATTTCTAGAAACAAAACTACTGTTTGCTTTTTACGACAGACTTCTCTCAAATTCACTAATGAGCCGCCCCAAGGCGTACGCGCGGGTTTGAAAAGAACATTTGCTGGAATTAATCAAGACCTTCTGGATATCAGTAATTTACCCATGTGGAAGCCGATGCTTTACACAGTAGCATTTTTACACTCCACTGTGCAGGTAACTTCTGAGAGCAGTTTGCACATTTAGGGGATGCTAATACATTGTTTCTCTGCTGCACTGTCTGCTTACCTCACCCTGCTTTTTCTCTCCTTCGTGGCCCCTTTCCCCACCTGGCATAGTATCTATTTGTCTGTGTAGTTAAATGTTTTCCCTGCTCCTGCCCCTCACTCTGGCCATGGGAGCGTAAGACTCTTGAAGGCAAAGACTTTGTCTTTTTGTAACTTCTCAGTCTCTGTGGCCATAGGAGCATAAGACTCTTGAAGGCAAAGACTTTGTCTTTTTGTAACTTCTCAGTCTCTCTGGCCATAGGAGCATCTGGGGCATTGCTGGAACTCAGTAAATATTTGTGAGATGAACATGGTTATTTAGATAGAAATTTGGTTTTCAAAGTACCTATGCTGGCCAGGAGCGTTACATGTACTATATCATGTAATGCTAACAGTCACATTTCTCAAGGTGAGAATGGTGTATCACCATTTTAAAAAAGAGAAAATTGAAGTGCCTGGGTGGCTCAGTCAGTTGGGTGTCCGACGCTTGATTTTTGGCTCAGGTCATGACCTCATGGTCTGTGGGATTGAGCCCTGGGTTGGGCTCTGTGCTGATAGCAGAGAGCCTGCTTGAGATTCTCTCTCTCTTTCTCTCTGCCCCTCCCCCACTCATGCTCACTCTCTCTCTCTTTCAAAATAAATAAGTAAAAAACTTTAAATAAATAAATAAATAAGCCAGAGTACATTGATTGATAATATGTCCAGATGTATAAATAAATTAATGAAGATAGTCGCACTAAAGCAGGAGCAGCAACTATTTGCTAGATGCTTTTCATAGATTATTTAACCAGTCTCACTGCAATGCCTGTAATTTTCCTCAGACTCTTAGGAATTTGTTCCTTGGACTGTCCTAAATAACAGGAGAACTAGACACAGGGACAACGCAGCCCCAGCCTCACTCCGGGTCCATCCCCCCATCCCTTTAGTGTGTGGCAATAAATTAACCACGTCCAGGAAAAATTAAATAAACTAAAAATGAGGAAATTGAGGCTTGGAGAGGTTAGGGTAACTTCATAGGTGGTAGATCTAGGAGTCAAGCCTGATGCTGCCTGCCTCGGGCGGTGGTGTGTTTTGAGCCAGCCCGCGAAGGTGATGGTGACAATGAGAAGAAGAGTCACAGTGGTTACCTGTCACTTTCAGGTTGTTTACTATTTGCTTTTACCGTACACTTGTATATTAATTTAGTAATTTTATGACTTTGCAGCCATACGGTGTTTTCATTTTGTTATTGCTTTGTTCTACATTTGATTTTATATTTTGTCCCATATTTGAAAGCTGTATAATTTTAATGTGCTTGAGTCACTCCTTGATTTTGGAGAGAGATGAACAGGCTCCTTTAACCCCTTCTACATTTCCTCCTTCCCTGAGGCTGCAGTGAGGACAGAATGAATCACCTGGCTTGTACTAGGAGGCCTGCCTTAGCTGTGCATAGTGGCACACAGAGCTTCACCTCCTCTCTCCCCTCCTGCCCAAAGCTGGAGGGGAATTTGGTGCTCATCCAAGAGAATACTGGGCATATTTACCCTCAGGCTCCTTGTCCCTGCCACTCTGCCAGGTTCCCTGCTGCCCAGCGGAGAGAGCTGTGTAGAGGAGACATTGGTGTATCTCCTGTGCATTGGCCCCCTCCCCCTGAGAGAGTTAAAACCAGGTTAAACACTTTGTGGGTGGTTATTTTTACCAAGTCCCACTGTGGCCTTTGGATTGTAAATTACAGCTTTCAAGTCACTGAAGCCTATTTCATACATTCTTATCTGGGAATTGTTTGCTTTGCTAGGCCTTATCATACTCTAATACAAATATTACTTTAACTCTGTTATTTAATTCCCAATTCGCAAATAATATATTTTATGATTCTGTTCCCAGTAGTGATGATTCAACTCTTCCACTGAGCTTATCATGGGGAGATGATTGGGGGTATTTTCCATATGGTCAGTGGGGCAACCTGTGTTTTTGTGGCCATTATCCAAGTGCTAAATAGAAGAACAACAGTGGGGCCGTGGTCCAGTCATGGGGTCAAGGAGTGCTTGCTCTTAACATGACATACATTTGGATTAAAACAGAAAAAAGTCTCCATTGCTAGGGCTGTGAAAGTAAAGGTTGAATGTCTCTTAAAATAGTCATAGTGTGCTAGATAGAGCAACCTCATTGAGGGTCAGGAGGCTGGGACATTATGCTTGCGGTAAAATCAATTAGCTATGTGGGGATTGTTGAGTTATATGCCTCTCAGGACCTCTGTTTCCCCGTCTGTGTGTTTAGCGTCAGAAGGAGGTGGTCTTTCAAGATTTTTCCCATTTCTAAAATTCCGTTATCAAGTTCTGTGACTACACAGGGAGCACAAATAATCCAAGCATAGCTTCCTCCGTTCTGTTTTCCTCATTTGCAGAAATATTTACTGTGATATTGCCTAAATAATTTGTTTTACTTGTTAGGATGGCACCTACCTGATAGGAAAATGCAGGTTCGGGGCGAGCAATGTCCACATGGCCCAGGAGCTTGTAAGAGAAAATCTCAGGCTGGCCCCAGACCTGCTGAATCAGAATCTGCATTGTAAGAAGATGCCCAAGTGATTCACGTGCACATTAAAGTTTGAAGTGAAGCTGCTACAGGAAGGACGTTCTGGGTTGGAATGATTGTGACTTAGATTTCTCTAGTGTTGGACATAATAGCCCAATACCTGATTTGTTAATTGACTGATTGATTCCTCCAAGTTAACCTAGTTATCCCTTGCTCTATACAAACATGATGCATATGCATTTGTCCTTGCGGAGACTGACAAAAAGAACAGGGAATTGGTTCATGTCGCACGCTCTGAAGCTTCAGGGCTGCGTAGGGGTTCGTGCTGGAGCCCATCATGAGTCAGAACGCAGAACCTGGTGGTGAAATAGCGGTCAAATGCAAGAACTGTGTATCCCCCAGTGCAGTTTCCCTTACTAAACTGTGCTTTGGCATCATGTCATCAACTCACCCCTGCTCAAGGGCATCATGTGTTATATGGATCTTGCTCATTGTTACAGAGAACAAAATGAACACCCCTCCTCTCCCATAGAAGGGGAATAGACTTGGCTGGTCAAGGACAACTGTCTTGGGCGGCATAGTGAAGGGTGTGATTTGTTTTGTTGTTGAGGTAGGAGCAGGCTTACCTAGTAGGAGGAGGCCATGGGTGCTTCCATGGGAACTTACAGAGATACACAAGCCAATTCTGCGCTAAACCCTTCTTGCCCCAGACCCCCCTGGGCTTCCCTCTCCTCTCCTCCAGGAACTTACCGTACACATATGCCAGGAAGTTACTGCAGCAACGGCGCCCTTACCACAGTTGGGTGATGTCTCTGCTCTAGCCAGCCAGCTCTTCTGCCCTCCCAGAGAGAGCCCAGCATCCCCAGTGCTTCAGCTACATTTGGCCACTACTCCCTGGGGGCATTTCTACATCCTCTTGAAGATTACTCTCAATGGAAGCTTCCCTCTGGCCTTAGTATCTTCTCTCTATGATACTCCAGTGCAGCGTCATTCTGGGTTTCAGAGCAAGGTCACATTCACCCTTTAGGATTTTAATTTTAAATAGGTCTTCCTCCAGGGTCTTGGTCTTTTGAAACTCAATAATTACATTTATGGTGTCCTCCCACAAATTCTGCAGTATTCTGTGGAAGGTCAGAATGGCACCTCTGGTTTTTTCCTGTTGATGGTCAATGTACCATATTTTGTTTGAACAGTGCATTGGACCCAGTGAATGTCTAATGCAATGGTTCTCAGCCATTGCCTGGGCCATAGAGTCCCAGGGAGGAGGCAGCAAGGTGGGGTGCTCAGTCCTTTAAAACACTTCTTAAGTGATTCTAATATGCAAAAAGAATTGAGAATTGAGAATGACTGCCAAACATCCACTGCCCTTAAGATAGGAATCCTTGGGGTGCCTGGGTGGCTCAGTCGGTTAGGTGTCCAACTTTGGCTCAGGTCATGATCTTGCAGTCTGTGAGTTCGAGCCCCCTGTTGGGCTCTGCTGACAGCTCAAAGCCTGGAGCCTGCTTCTGATTCTCTGTCTCCTTCTCTCTCAGCCCCTCCTTTGCTCACATACACACTCTCCCTCTCTCAAAAATAAATAAATGTTAAAAAAAAAAAAAAAAA